TTTTTTTTTTTTTTTTTTTTTGCAGGCCCTCAGCAAATATAGTGATGCAACAATCCTTATTTTTAGCTCTCTCTCTCTCTGTTAGCTGAGTTGGTGTGCACAAAGCACTTGCATGACAAACTCTGGCCCAGACTTTATTTTAAACGGGGACCGAGCCCTTAAACTCTTGAACTGGGGGATGGGGGGTTGGCAATCTGATTGAGAAAATCTTAAGACACGTGTGTGAACTGGAGCATTGAATGTGGGTAGAAAAGGCCCCCCTCTGTCTCTTTCAGTTTGAAGGACATGTACAGCTTCTACGAAGTGGCTGGTTTGAAATGGAAGGTAAAGTTGTCAGTTTGAGCTGTTTGGGGGTCTTTGGGGGTGGGGCTGGATGGGAGGTGAGCCCCTAGAATGGGGAAGAAAAAAAGGGACACTCTGGGGAGAACAAACACTGGGAAAATTTATGGATGGACGGACGGACGGAAGGAAGGAAGGAGAGGAAGGAAGGAAGAGGGTGAGAGGGAGGGAGGGAGGAAGGAAGGAAGAGGGTGAGAGAGAGGGAGGGAGGAGAGAGGAAGGAAGGAAAGGAAGGAAGGAATCCTGGAGGGAGAAGGGCTCTTAAGGTCCTCTAGTCTAGCCCAGCCATGAAAGTGAACCAAAGCTGATTCTGGTTACTTTTTTTTCCAGGCAAAACGGAACCGGGAACATTGGTTTGATGACCTTCCAGGGACAGCTTTCCTTATTTTTAAGGGTAAATACTCTGTGTTTCTATAGAACATAGAATCCTAGGGCTGGAAGGGACTTTAGAGGTCCTCTAGTCCAACCCCCTGCTCCAGCATTCCAGACAAGTGGCTATCCAGTCTCTTCTGGAAAGCCTCCAGTGATGGAGCACCCAGAACTCCTGGAGGCCAGCAGTTCCACTGGTTAATGGCTCTCACTGTCAGGAACATCCTCCTTAGTTCCTGGCTGGGTCTCCCTCTGATGAGATTCCATCCGTTACTTCTCGTCCTGCCCTCAGGTGCTTTGGGGAATAAGGCAAGCCCTTCATCTCAACTTGGGGTATTTCAAAGAAACCAGCAAGAACGATGTTATATATATATATAAAACATTCTTCTTCCTTTCAACAGGTATTAACATATTAGTGAATTCTCGGGCTTTCCAGTATGGCATGTGTAAGTCTTCCCTCTGTTTATATGGGGTGGGAGGAGGCTCGAATGGATAGAGTTACTCAGCATAGTAGTATTAAGTGGTGTTTTGTTTTGCCAATACACTGATCAACTTCAAAGTTGACATTGGGCCCCAAGAACCAAGGAAAACCAAAGTTATAGGAAGTCCTCAGCTTACAAAACTCACAACGGTTCATTTAGTGACTGAAGCTACAATGGCACTGGAAAAAAAGTGACTTTTGACCATTTGGGCTTCGTTTGAAAACTGTTGTTTTCCGTCGTGTCTTGCAGATGTTCTGGTGGCCGTGAACGGTCTCTGGATTCTAGTGGAAACCTTCATGTTGCGAGGTAGAGCACAACACAATTGAATGTCTGGGTTTTTTTTAATTATTATTATTCCTTTCCTTCTGACGGGATTTCCGCTCTTCTCTCTGAAACTGTGTGCTGTTTCTTTTCCAGATGGAATCTTTTCCCGAGACGTCCCCTGGAGTTACATCATGTTCCTTACAAGTAAGTCTTCAGCAACTTGGTTTTCCAAGAAGGCGCGTGGAGGCCTCCTTAGAAAATAAAAATGTCGAGACATTCGAGCTCGGTAAAGAAAAGAATAAATTGGGGTGCTGATAAAAGACAAATATTGGACACCGTTGTTATTGGACAATATTGTACGGGGATTAAAAACCCACAATCCCGGCACTTCCTCTTCTGTGTTGACAGTCTACGGGGTCGAAGTGCTGTTGAAGGTCACTGGCCTGGGACCTAAAGAGTATCTCTCTTCTGGCTGGAATCTGTAAGTCTCTCCCGTTTAAGGGATTTGGCATAGGAGACTTGTAGGGAGGTAGCTTGCAGGTCCCACCCAGAAAATCCACTTCTGTCTCTGTTTTTTCCCAGTTTCGATTTTGCGGTCACTTTGTTCGCATTCTTGGGTCTCCTGGCACTGGCGTTCGATATGGAACCCTTCTACTTCATTGTTGTGCTGCGGCCTCTGCAGTTACTGAGGTGAAGATACAGGATGGGTCAGATAGGTGCAGAACTGGGGGTCCTCTAGCTACTATAGAAATTACAGGTCCCAGAATCCCCCTTGCTTTTGACACCTGGTTGCAAGGGCTTCTTCTTCTTCTTCTTCTTCTTCTTCTTCTTCTTCTTCTTCTTCTTCTTCTTCTTCTTCTTCTTCTTCTTCTTCTTCTTCTTCTTCTTCTTCTTCTTCTTCTTCTTCTTCTTCTTCTTCTTCTTCTTCTTCTTCTTCTTCTTCTTCTTCTTCTTCTTCTTCTTCTTCTTCTTCTTCTTCTTCTTCTTCTTCTT